ATCAATCATGGTCAGGCATAGACTGTCACATAAATTTAACAGACAATATGTATTTGATATTATGATTAAAGTTTAATTGAAATGTTGCTAAATTAACGCCATCTATTGCATGGAATTTGCACTATTCTGCACAATTTTTTACAAAAATGACACGTGACCCCTTTCTTTAACATGGGTGTATCTTATGTAGGGTATATGTGTTGTACTGGTGTAAAAAATATAATATACTTGTTGTTAAGCAAAATATATATATTTGCTGATAGTACTTACTACTTACATTCTTATCAGATCGATGCTATTGAAAGGGTGAAAGGTATTGTTTTTCTATAGACAACTTTATTATAGACAATTCGTTTCGCAATATCGGCCAGAGAGAAACTATGGTTTCTTTTAAGTTTAATTAAGTTGTGATCACCTTGGTGAAATTGGATTAAGTCTGGATCTTTTCAATTATTGCGTGTGCTGTTCTAAAGTACAGAAGTTAAATAAACTTAGTTCTAGTTAAAAAAAATCAGATCAGCAATGTTTGTATTTGTATTCTCTATTATAGAGATAAACCGATAAGTACATTTGGCACATTTTTCCTGCTGAATTAGCTAAATATTATTCATTAATAAACGTGTGAAATGTGGAGAATCGTATGAACTACAATATCAGTTATAAAATGGCGGGGCACCGTTCGAATTTGGTCGAGGTTTTTTTTAATAATTTATATAATTTAGACTCCCAGTATCCAAAGAAAAACGCTTTTTACCGGATTAAAGTTCACGTGGTCACCGTGACCACGCACGCTGTAAAGCACGCGAAACGTCGGATAAATTTAAAATTATGTCAAATAGTTGTAAATTTATAATAATAAACATAACTTTAATCCGGTAAAAAGCGTTTTTCTTTAAATGTGTAAAGGTTATGTTAATCAAAGACAATACTACTCCCAGTATCCCTCAAGAGTATATATATGTATAATTAAATTCCTGTCTGGAATGTTATTTACAGATTTTTTTTCTAATTCGACTGGGCATCAAGTTAACAGCTCTATCTCTTTGTCTGCCCGATATCCTAACACTGCCCTCTGGCAACATTAATGATAAAATTAATTTCAATAACAATTTGTTCAAGTCAAAATAACCGGATACGCTAAGTGTCATTGCTCTCAATTCTAAATATTTCTTAATGTTCCAAGTTTTTTATCTATGTTCAATATGATTTGACCCAAATGTTTTTTCACATTTTGAATAAAATTCTGCCGTCGTTATTTTAACTGTATGACGCTTAAAAAAAGAAACAATTAAATATACTCGTAAGTACACGTCACAAATAAAACTTAAAATTTGTGCATATTAATTTTTTTTAAATAACACGTTCCTTTTATCGTTCTAGTATTCTCTATTGATAAAACTTAATTCAGAGTTCAAGAGTTCATGAATATTCTAGTTTTTAACGATAGTATGAAGTGTTTTAGATTTTAAAATCAAAGCTATTAATTAGCAATGGAGCTATGAACAATGAACATTTATCTACGTCTGAAAGTATTTTTTTTTTAAACTGTATCATTAGATAATATAACCTTGTTTTAGACGATTTTTAAAAAGAATATCTGGTTTTTCGGTAATTCTTTTTATAGAACATTTTTTCAAGTATTTGCGTATGGCAACTAAGTACATATAATGTCGGTCAATTTCAATTATCGAATACCGTGTTCTTCAATTTTTTTTGTAGGTAGTTAACGTGTGTAGCAAGTGGGAAACGATAGTTACGTATCCCGTTTGGGAATTTCTTAGGTACTGTAGAAAGGAGCACAGCGCAAGGACGACAGCGTATACGCAGGTTGTTAACCTCGAAGTAAGAATGCGCGGGAGCCTGGCTGATCGCGGTATGAGAGGCATGACCGCCCGACATTCGACCTCCACATATCTTACAATGGCAAAAATACCACACTAATTTCCCCTAAATGCTTTTAAAATCGCCACAGAAAACAAAGGCTCCCATATAATTTTTTAGAACATACCTCACAAAACAAGAAAACCTACAATTAAACCTTTGAATCGTGAAAAATGTTGTAGTCTTATTTATTTCGTACTCAGCTTAAATTATATGTAACAAATAAACAATTATGCTTAAAATATAGCCAGCAATACACAATATATAGAAAAAGGTTTAAAATATTTGAGAAACTGACAAAAACACAAGAATTGATATAATTAATTGCCGTTCAATATGGATGCATTTCTCGTGATTACTTGGAATGAAGCTCGTAGCAAGTACGCATTTGGTTGATTCCTTTAAAGCTAATCCAGGAAGATCTTAAGACATTGCGGTTTCACATTAATATGCACATATAAAAACTGTTTAGTTGGGACCCACTTCATCTATCGATTCCCAAGCCTTAAAAACCAGTTACTGAACGCGTTTGACAGCTTATACAAATGAAATAGTAATGCGTTTTTATAAGGACACTTGATATACGCCGTAAGCAAATACTGGCTACATGCCTACATAGTACCTGAGTTTTTTTTTTACCTGATTACTGGTACTGCAAGGATGGCCTTCTTAGAATTACTACGATTTACCGTTATAACCTATAAAGGTTCTTAAAATACAATCGCTAGTTGCAGTTGTGTTTATTTTGGGACTAGCTAATTTAATATCTGGATTTAACAGAAACGTATATACATTACGTTAAGGTATCCTTAATGACAAAAATTAATTCCTGCAGCCTTTTTTTTAAAACAAATAATACCTATTTTACTCCTCTGCCATTGTGTCCAGGGACTTTTTCTATCTCTTAACTTCACATCACAAGTCTCGCGAAATACGCCCCGGCTACATCGGTAATATTTTTGCTTACAATATTCATGGGCGAGCCTGCAGCCTTTACTGCTAATTGCTATAGGCTACATATTTTCTGTATTAATAATAACAAATTAACTGTCAATTAGCCTCAATTATGTATTTTCAACACTTGAGCGTTTGTTTTCTACAAATAATACCGAATAATTTTTAAGATAGGTATATTTTTAAACCCCAACGAATTATATTTTTTGTATAATATAAAAAGGTGTTTCTGGTTTAAAAATACTAATGAAAATTTGATTCACTGTATTAATTGATTGCTGCATATCAACGCTGGCTAATATGGTAAAGTACAAGCGCTTCTCATGCACGCTTTTTTGTGTTATCATAATGAATCATGGTCGGGCTGATTGGCAATATGTTATGCTTTTTTTTTGCATTTGAATTTACAAGGCTGTGATTTTACTGATTTACCCAAAGAATATGATAAGCTTACGGTAGAACTTACATTTCATGCTATCCTGTGGTGAATTAATGCCAATATTGTATTTATACTATTTTATTAATGACAATATTATACTATTTACTTTTAACTCGAGTTCTCTAATCTTTTTCTCTGTCAAATTCCAGATGCAATGATGAAAAATATAATTTGATTTAAAACTAGAGTAATTAGACTGATTTAGCTTTTATTTAAGGGGCGTGGTCATCATATAGACCATATGACAAACAATTGTCAATTATTTAAAACATAAATAAAAATTATTGTATTTGACTCAAAAACATTACGGTTTGAAATTTACATTTAAGAGGCGGAACATACACTAGGCTACGAATTGAAGGATACAATACACCAAGAAGGAACCTAGAAAGATACATAATATACTCCTATGAGCACTAGCGTTTAAACTACAGGGCCTAAAATGTTACCCAAACTGGTGGGTACTTCCAAGTGTCATAAAAAATTGGATACGGATATTTACTGTTAAGATTTCATATTTAAATTAAATATTGAATAGTATTACGGACTGAAGTTAGAAATTTTAAATAGCCTAATTTTTTTATTTTATATTAACAAACAAGTTTTCTATTTCATTATATTTTTGAGTTTTTAGCAATTTATCTAATTAACAAGTCAAATTATATACATTTCTTATAAGCCGTTTATTTATAATTTTAATTATACATACGTTGAATTTTAGATATTATAAGCGATATTTCTACTGCATATGATAAACTTTTTAACAGGTAAATAGTAATTTTTGTACATGGCCTACCAAACATTTTACACTTTATTAGTGACACAAGACATTGTATTTGCATTCATCAATGATATTTTGATTTAGCCAACAATTCTACAATTCACTGATTGGATCTCTGTGGAACAATGTTTCTTTAAATAGAACTAGGCTGTTAAATGTGAAGGCTACACTTAAAATACAATGCAATAAACTGCGATGAACGCATGCGATTATTGTAAAATGCATTAAGCAAGAGTGCATTTTAACGTGTTAAATTTTCATCTATTGTTGTTGATTCCCTAGAGGTTTCAAAGTAACCTCTGAGTTCGTAAGTATTAGATTACTCTAGAGATAAGTGTATGAAACAGCACACTCCGAAATAGGATCGAAAACAGGTCAATACCTCGATTGACATTGGGATTCATCAGGTATGGTGTCGCGATCTAAATGTGAAAGTTGCTTTGGCATCTCTCCAAGTAGACCGCTACATTATATTTATGAGCCAGACTAAACAAATTATGAAGTAAAGAAGGAATAGTGTTTACTGATTTTTATACGCGAACATAATTTATACTGTGCCCTTCAACACGAATTAAATAACAAATATACCGTTAATATACTAAAGCGGATGCTATAAAATATATTGCTTATACTGTGTACCTAAGAATATAAGTCTATTAAAAGGGAAAGAAGCCTTATTATGCCTGTGCGTAATGCACACGTCGCAATATTCTCTAATGATGTTTATAATAACTTGCACTAAATGAAGACGTCGTTAGGCGTTTCCGTATTAGTCAATATCGTATAGGAAACTGTTGAGTGACAGAGTGTTGGTAACACTTCCTGCCATTAGGAAATAATTAAGACTTAGTTATTTCTATATTTTAGCAGTAAAAAATGCACTGATGAATGTATTACTTTAATTGTTACAGGATTGATCCTCCTCTCCAACAGACGCAGTTTCAAATGGACGCCAAGAAAACTATACCAGCTACTCAGCAACCGCTGACTCACCAACACATAATGGCCCACCATGTTCATCCTGATCAAATATACACCCAGCAGCAAATGTCAAATCACGTAACATCCAACCCACCTATACAAAATCAGCCAAATGGCGTTATACATCAACACCAGCAGCAGCAGCAACTCATACAGAATCAATATCATGCAACAATGACCGCGAGATCACCCCTTCTAGAAAACAGACATGAAATATATGGAACCAGTCATAATCACGAATACGCAAGACATTATGGCGCAAATGACAACTACAACTATCAGCAACAGCAATCTCCAACCACTGAAAGAACAGAACAAATTATTCACACAGATCATAATGTTAATCACGATATTGTACATAACATCCCGAAGGGGTACAACGCCGAAGTTTATCAAGACTATTTGAAACGTAACCCACCGAAAGACAGTAACCAAATATATCAAAATCATCAACCTATGTATAGACCTAATATGAATCAATATGGTTCAAAACCTTATTTGCCATATTCGAATAGAATAGGACCTCAAAGTAATACAGAGCTTTTGAGGAGACAGTACAATGAAATCCAACAGCTGAAAATGCAACAGCAACTCCACTATCAGAATCAGGCACAAATGCATCAACAACAAAAATTCGCTGAGAGACAACTCCTATTGCAACAAATACACGGAGTGCAGCCTCCACCTAACTTACAAAACAGCATTTACTCTGACAGTTCCTATAGGGATTTGGATAGGTACGGTAGTAGAAATGATTTCAAAGAGTATACAGGAGATATTCAGAAAGATGTAGATAAGTATGCTAAAAATAATGAATATAGAGAGATAGAGAGGCAAAATAAACAGTTCCAAGAAGCGCAATGGCAACATAATCAAGAAGGATTTAAGGAGATTGAACGGTATAGAAGTCCACCAGAGGAGGAGAAGACAAAGCACAGATCTCCACCAACCGATTTTAATAACCAACTAAAAAGGAACACGGGTACGATGTCTCCGATGAAGTCCAGTGAATCCAGTTCGCCTAGCGTAAAGTCCCCATCAACTGAAAGTCGCAGGAGTAGCAGTGGCCAAGCTTTACGGTCACCAACAGCGCAAAGAATTCCATCTGCCCCGGTTACTATATCCGGAATGCTTTATAAACAGGGATCCGATGGCCTCAAAGTGTGGCGGAAGAGGTGGTTCGTGCTATCTGAATACTGTTTATTCTACTATAAAAGTAAGTATTTTTATATTAAGGAGCGTTTAAGTATTACGTAACGAATTTGAGGGGGGGAGGGGGAGGTTTCCTTTTGTAAAACGTTACGATGCGGGGCGGGGATTGAATTACGCGTTATTGTTAATATTATTTTCGACTTTCCAGTACTTGGGGGTCAATAATGTCCGAAAATTGCGTGACGTAATACTTGAACGCTAATGAAATCTTCGTAATGTTACACAAAATATTTCTACTTTTATCTTTATAGGTCAAGACGAAGAAAAACTGTTGGGGTCCGTTCTTTTACCATCATATAAGGTATCCGCTTGTACTAGTGAAGATAAGGTAATGAGGAAGTACGCATTTAAATTAGAACACGCAAATATGCGGACGTACGTATTAGCAGCGATGGATCAAGAATCTATGATGAAATGGGTGAAGGGGCTAACTATGGCTGCACTTATGCAAAACTACAGGTATATATTTTTGCGTAGTCCTATAATCACAAAGGTATTACCCGCAACCATGTTGTTACTGTTATTGCATTTTGTTCATAGTTTGCTTTAAGCTACACCTGAAGTATAGGCTAAAGTAAAAAACAGATAAGTATAAATAGAAGCGATTTTTCAAATATTTATTTCCAACACACAAATATACAGTATTTACAATATTATTAATCTACATAGTAATAATAATAATGAAAAATTTATTAATAGAAAATTAAAACAAATTTAAAAAGTTTGTAGTATACCTTTAATGCTGGCAGCATTTCCTCGCTGTATTGCGAAACTTATTCCTTGAGCGAGGAAAGCACCAGCTTTGGGGTCAGCGGTGCTATCTACCAGGCGCCAACTTAAATCTTTAATTAGCGTTTGTGCACTTGAATAAAAAAAAACAGGGTGCATGTACTTATGTACGCGCGTAAGAAGTTATACTTCTTTGGCATTATTAAAAATAGTTTTAGATTGCATGCAAATAATTTATTACAATTAAATAATCAAAGACTGGAAAAGGAGTCATTGTAGTCAATAAAGTTCAGTTTACATTTGAAAAATTAAATAAATAAATATTTATTATTATTCTCTTACATTAAGTGTAACATTTATTCTATTATTTTTCGAATGTTGTTTTTAAATTATGTCCAATGCCGTAGCATCTTCCGTGGGCAACTTCATTCTGTTAATTTTGTGTCACGGTGCGCGCGCATCGTAAAATTTCACTCTCATCAATTTTTCATAACGTGCCTAAAGAAGTGTAACTTCAAAAACACAGACAAAAAGAAGTATAAATTAGTTTGATTGCGCTGTTCGTTACACGTCTGTTCGGAATTTATTAAACTCGTTTTTTTTCCAGCGAACACCAACGGAAACAAATTGAGCGAACTGCAAAACCAGAGGTACGTATTATCGTGTGCATAACGTGAATCGATGCAAGTCCTCAATCAATCCGCTAGAGCATAACCAAGGACAGTCACCGGTTTATGGGCATAACTGTAAACGTTGATCGGTGTCAATACTAACCGCTCAAGTTTTTCTTTTAAGTAAAAGATAGACATATGTACTTACAAAATCTAATTGATATCATGAAAGAATTGATTACATGTGCACAACTTATAAATTTTATTTTAATTTATATTAAATTAAGTAAAAGGTTTTTATTTCCTCTGTGGTTGATCGTAATTTAATGATGACAAAACATAAAACAGTTTGTTGAATAAAATGCGATAAAAAGTCGTGGGATTAAAATTTTATATAAGTGGGTTTGAAGTTATATATAAATATAGTTGTTTCTTTGTAACAATGAATCATACGTATGCTAATTTTATAAGCAAACATTTTACATATTAGTTTATTGGTAGTTGAGTTCACAAAGGTATTTTTAAAATATTTTCAGGATGACGATATTCCTGGACCCACATACGCAAATGCACCTCCCAAGCCACGACGCTCAAATGATGGATACAATTCACCAGGCTCAGACATGTTAGTATATAGATACACGCTGTTGTAGTGAACCAAAGTTAAAATTACTTATTCAATGACCTATTACTATTTCAGATACGACCCAAATTACGATCTTTTGATCAAACCAGAGTCTCAATATAATCAAAGCACTTCGAAGCAATATCAAGATCAATATGGAAGTAAAGCGAATCAAGAAGCTTACGCCAGAACTCCACAGTCGCCTCCCCAACAACCTCTCTATCAAACAAAAAGATCTAATGAATTACACAATGTTTCTGGATCGAACCACGAAAGACCTCAAGAACTGTATAAATACCCACAATCGCCCCCTTTTGAAACAAGGCGTCTTCCCGATGAAAACATGTACCAAACACAAAATAATCCCTTCTTACAAAATTATTCAAGCCAGGAAACTCGTGTTCCGCCTCTTGAAACACAAAACACTGATCAAAAATCCGTTAAAAGTTATGGAGACAATTATCCAGAGTCGAAAACTCGTAATGATCCTAATGCACATGCTAGAGATGTGTATGGTGAATTAAAGGATCTAAAGCCGGTTCCAACGAACAGTGTAAATGATCGAATTATGGAGAGGCGAACGCCCGACGCATACGGGCGCTCCACTACGATGTCGAGTTATAAAAACAAACTTGGTGATTATGAAGATGTATACTCCCCATATTCAAGTGAAAATCCTGCGAAGTCACCTAATTTATCACTACATCGAGATAATATTAGTTTGTCAAGTCAAAAACAGCAACAAAAGCCCAATCAGGTAGGTTTCTATTGCAATTTGTTTAATTGTTTTATTGTTATAATAGTATAGTGATTGAGTTTTGCAAGAGATAGGATTCAAAGCAACACATAGGTTTTGCCGAGATTTAGTATAACTTAAATATGACTTTAGGTATTCATATACAAAAAAAAAAAATTTACTTATTTTACTTTATATTCCTATAAAAATCGTATATCATGTACTCTTTGCAGAGTCAAGAGAAAGTGTTTAGCGGGCCATCAGTTCTTCGAAGAAAGAAAATGCAAGCAAGTGGCATACAACCTCCCATGCCCAGACCACATAGCGCAGACTTTCTAGAGTACGAAGCTAGAAACGAATCATTGAATAAGACAATGCCAACAAGAAACAATTTAGATCTTCATAAAAATCCACAGCGGCCTAAGTCTAGTCTTGACATAAACTCATATTACGACCCCAGTTCAGAAACATATTACTCTGAAGAGAGCTATGCAGAAAAAATGAGACAGTCAGCTCAATATTTGCAGCAACAAGGTCTTGCGCCTCGTAATATACAGATACCTCTCGCAAAATATGCAAGTGGTTTAGCTGAAAAACAATTGCAGTCCCCCTATGCTCATACACAAAACAACAATTATGAAACGGAATTTGGCGCAAAACAACGCGATAATATCAGCTACACCTCAAAATACAGTGATCTAGAAGGGTTAAACTCTAATTGGATGCTAAAAGAGAAAGATTTAGAACAACAAAAGGATTACTTGAACCGAAGTGGGAGTGTAATGAGTGATGGATCAAATGGAAGTTACCTGAAAGAAGCAAGTAAACTGGAGCCTAATTCTGATGGTTTTATAAGATCTGCGAGTGCACGATTACCTACTACAGAACGTGATGGTGAAAAGAAAGTTCAGCAGGTATAAATGATTCTTATGTTATTTTACTCCTGGTACTACATTAATTGTTCTTTACAATATCTCAACTTATTGGTGTTTGTTACAGCGCGAGGAATCAATGAAACGCTTATTGGAATGGAAACAAAGAATGTTGCAGTCTCCTTTGACTAGAAAAAGTACTCCTGCAACTATTTCCTTAGCAAGATCTCTAAATCAGAGTCGACAATCATTAAGATCAGATCAGTACAAACCTAAAACATACTCAAATAATTCATATAACAGCTACTCATCTGACGATGAAGGTTAGTGCCATAGCTTTAATCAATTAATTAGACCAAAGAGCATGTATACTTTTCTCTAAACCAATTTTTAAAGCATGTAAAAATTAAGTTTAGTGTGGTCGTACGCATGATAATTCGTGTTCAGTGTATTTTGTAGTAAAATATAAACTAGTCATTAAAGACCTATTTTAAGTAGAGCTAATAATATATAGTTAAATTTATTTTTACATGTACTTCATTTACTTTATAAATATAAAAATGCCATTACATTACTTGTTTATAATTATTATATTTTATTGTATTCAACTATAAACAAGCAGCCTTTGGTGACTTCGCTTTGCGGAACGGTACCTTCCTGCCTGCTGGGATATGTCACTAACTATCGCATTTTAATGGTGTTGGGTCAGTAAACCTATATAATTACTGTAGATTATATATGGAAGCCGTAGATCGTATTTACATAACTTTATTTGGAAAAGGTGCAATAATTACTAACAATCAAGCATTATCAAATACAATAATATTATTATTTGGAAAGTAAGAAATTAAAATTTGGTTTCGCTTTTGCACCTCAGAGGAAACACCTGGGACTGATCTGCAAAACTCAAGTGCTATGCAGGCAGGAAGGTCTTACATACAGGGAATAGAGAGTCCCTCAATAACAAAACCAAAATCCCCTCACGAGCCTTGTTCTGTCCTATTGCCCGATCAAAAATTCGAAATAACAAGTGTTAGTAAAAACAATAGCAGTCTCCAAAATGCATACGAAAATATTAATGTAGAAGAATCCATGGCCGAGAATGTTAAAAGTAACGCACAGGAAGAACACATATACGAAGATCATATTCCTCAGCTTATTGATATGCCTGAAGAGACTGAGCAGACATCAGCAGTTATTTGTGATGGATATGAAACGCATGAAAGTGAATCGGAATCAGAAGCTCAGCTCGAATATACAGATAATGATTTAGATGAAGTACTTCTTGAATCGGATACTGAAACGTCTAAGCAAGATAATAACGAACTTGCAAGTAATCAATCAGAAACCCCGCCAATTCTACCACTAAGTGAAGATCATTACTTACCGATGAGCCCTAGAAAATTATTGTCAATAGAACCAGCACATAGAATGATTTTAGAAAATTTAAGCGTTTTCGATCAATCTATGCCAATAACTTATGAAGATAATCCATATGTAGAAATGAATTTGGGAGGGGAGGAGGATGACATGCAGACATACGAAATTGTTTGTGTAAACAATGGTAAGATGGTTGAACCAGTGTACATGGAATTGAATAATCTTACGGCAGCTGATCAAGAAATAGAAAATACGAATTTAAAAGATTGCCACTCAGATACAGCCTCTAATTTTGCAGACACCAAAGATCCAACATTGAGGAGAGTGTCAAAAACCGAGAAAAATAAAGAAAAGGCGGAAGGTTCTGACGCTGATGATGAATGCTCTAAAGACCTATCGATAGATGCCCCTTTTAGTAGATTAAGTATTTCAGATACATTCCGTCCTGCTTCATATTATCTCAGTTGTAGTTCTATGATTTTGGATAGGCAGGATAGTTCTGATAGTGATATCTTACCACCTCCACCCATTCCAAGTTCATCTCCACCATGCGAAGAATTAAATGATGAAGCCTTGTCCAGATATATTTTAGACAAATTAGATAAATCCGATATCTCTCAAGATAATTCTATTTTAAAAATGTTAACAAACGAAAATCAAAATATGAATAAAATGAAAAGAAAAGCGACCTCGTTAATGATATACGGTAGCCGAACTTCAATTCACGATACTCTTACCAGGGGTGAAAAAATTCGACATAATAGAGCAAGCTTAACAAATGATAGGAGTAAATTATTGGAAGAAAAAGAAACGATCAACCTATTAAATAGATCTTTATTCGATTTGAAAAACAATTCTTCAGATTGTATTGACTCTGATTCGTTCAGAAGTTGTATTGTTGACAGAGATTCATCGAGATTGTCCTTAGATTCAGATGTAAGTAGTAAATTTGAAATTACTCCATCAAATATATCTTCAGAACTTACAAGCTTAGCTGATGGTGACTCGATATATGATTTACGTAATTCAAGTGACTGCGCTGATGCTAATTTGTTACGGAAGAACCAATTTGTTTCAGAAACTTATTTGTTAAGTCAAATTGAACGCAGCGATTTGATACAACTTAACAGAACGTCAAACGAAAGAGATACGTCTTGTAATCCAGAAGAAACTAAAATGAATAAAACACAAACTTCAACCAATAGTGAAAATTTGAATATTGTTTGTTCCCACACACGTTCATCTAGCACCCCTGTTAGTTGTAAAAGCAATATTATTCGTGATAGATCAAACAGTCATGCTTTGGAATCGAAGCGTATAGACACACAATACAAAAACATTGCGGATCATACTTCGGGATACATTGGTTCACAGAGTTCTTGTAGCTCACTCGGTGTTTCTCATTCTCCTATATCATTTTACACTAAGTATTCAAAAGGAGAAACGTTACTGAGAAAAAATTTGAATAAAACTACAGATAAAGTAAAGGAAATCAAGAAGATCAATATTAAAGAAAAGTATAACGCTTCATCGACAACCACTGGTTTTCATAGTAGAGAAAGTTCTGCCGAGCACAGTGCCCCCTACTACTATTCGGATCTTTCATCACAGGAGCATATTGATATTTTACCAACTTCTCATTATATGAAAAATACTAACATACACAGAAAATTAAATAATCAACGACGGAAAGGCCTCTTGCATAAACGGAATGACATAACACATATACATAACCCGATCCACAGTAACAATGTTTTTGTATCCGATAATTCTTTTGAATTGGCAGCAGCTAGAAGTGTATCCGTTGAATTTCTAAGTGCAACAGAAAAAGATCCAGAAATAGATATTAAAAATTTATATGAATCGTCGAGTAGTAAACGCTCAAAAATACCAGAATCGATTGGTTTATTGGGTAGTCTAGGCTGTAAAAGAAATACAAGTAATTCAAAGTTTTCATCAGAAGAAAAGACGGTATCCGACCATTCAGAATTACAACAACGAAATTTGTTAAAAGCTAGGGTTTCTACTGGAAGTATGTCCTCACACTGCAGTGAAAACTCTTCAAATACTGTATATTATGACGCTGAAACTGAAGCAACTACATATGAGAATATTTTTGTTGGAGAAAAACATTGGGATGAAGATCAGCTATGGAGAGATAATTTAAGAAGAGTCTCTCATAGACATGCTCGTTCAATGGATGATTTAGATGCTTTGCCTGAATCTATAAGTTCTAATAATACACCCGATTTTAATAGCATTAAGCGCGTTAAGAAAGTTGTGTCAAACAATAAGGTAAGTAGAAACGTTACTTACGTAAATTGCGATATACAAGCACAGATTTTAAGAAAGGATAAAAAAGTGGGCCATGCTATTCCTGATGAGAATGATGTTTATGTTAGTCTTGCAAATGATGTTAACATAGCCTCAGATAACACAATTGTTGATGAAGGCGTCTATGAACAATTGTCAATCGATACAACTGAAATATCGTCAAATGACATATGTAACAGTAAAGAGAAACAGTCGAAAATCAATCGAAAACAGTTTGAAATAGATAGAGAAACATTAAGGCAGTGGGATTTGATGTCGAGTGGATTAATGAAAGATGGTTCAAGGCTAGTGCGGGGTGCGGTTATGGGTGTTAACGTAAACGAAGCTGCATGCACGGACAACAGAACTGAAAATGCAAGCAAGGGAAGTATCCACTAAGTTTCTGTGGTCCAGTTAGTAACTATGTAAGTTAAACTTGTATTCATTTAAACGCAAAGCAAAGTCACTTTTGGCATTTTTATGTATATTATTAAAGAAGATAAGATGTACATAAGTACGCAAGCATGTTTTGATGTTAACACTGTATATAGCACTGAACTTGTAAATACATGATACACACTTTATCATGTTGAAACTAGTCTATAATAAATCTATTCGTAAAGATAATACATCGTTAATCATTTCTTGCAGCATCCTTAACAATATCAGGCACTAACATAGAATCTAACGCAAACAATAACCAAATTCAACAAACATTATCAAATAAATCATTTGTCGGAAGTAATACATCTATTGGACGTAGTAATAGAGATGGGAATATACCAGTAAGAGCAGTCAGCCCAAGAGTAAGATGGGTTGAAGATAAAGCAAATGAGCATTACACGTCACAACAGATTAGTGCGTCGCAGCATAATGTAAGTTACTTATATGTAATCTTTACTATTTATACTCTGCGGTGACTATGCCTAAAATATAGAGAAATATCATTAATGCATCCATTATGTAATTTTTATTGTTAATAAATAAAAATTTGTTAAGCGTTTTATTGAAAACACTATTCATTATATTACACAAATATTTGACATATCAAAAATAATATGTATACAATTTTATAGTATTTTTTCTTTTTTTTTTTTTTTTATTTTTTTTTTTTTTTTTTTTTTTTTTTTTTTTAGTTTTTTTATTTTTATTATTTTTTTTTAAATTTTTTTTGTTTGTGAATGAATGAGGGGGGCAATAGATTGTCAAAGTGTAGTATGCATTTATTAGAAAGGTCTATTGGCCTTTAGCTTACTTGTTAGAAAAAGTGTAAGAGAAATAGACGTCTTCGCTTTATTAACTACGGAGTTATGAAACTTATTTGATATTACAGCTTAATATATTACCGGGCACAGAAGAATCTTGGGCCACAATTAGGTCCCCTTCTCGGATGTCCCAACAGCCCGTAAGCGCTGTCAGTCCTAGAGTTAGGAGGAACACTGAAACTGACGAAATGGTATATAGATTGTCTTTTATTCATTATCCTTACATATATACCAGTATTACCCATTTTATTTGAGTTCTATCAATTTTATTTATTTTACTTGGGGGTACATACCATAAGATCGTTATTAATGCAAGATCAATTACGGCTTATAAAGTAGTCTTTTAATCTGGAATTTAAATTGTTACAAAATAACGGACAATCACTATCTCTCAAACGTTGAAACTATGCTTGTCGCCGCGAAGTTTAAACGTCGCCGAGTGTTATTATTTTAATTTTTTGTTAATTGTAGCAAAAAAAAATGAAAAATGGCTTTATTATGACATAACTTTCAAATTAATAACGTTCTTTAAAAAAATATATGATTTTGTTTTGCTTTTTTTGTGTTTTGTACATTATGTTGCATTATTTGTTGGGTATAGAAAAAGGTGTCTCGAGAATTGGTAGATATACCGACAGCTGGTGAACTCCTGGGACGGAGTCATGAAGAATTAGTTCTCCTTCTTATACAATTACGTCGACGGCATGCTGCAATACATCGATCCATAGAGCAATGCTGCCACCAAATTAATAGTATAGAGGTGCTTTGCTTTTTATGTTTTACGTTTTTTTTCTTTTAACAATTTTATATATAACTAGCTGATCCGGCAAACGTCGTTTTGCCATGTATATCATTTATAATAAAAAATAGGGGTTGATCGTAGAGGGGGAAAATTAGGGGTTGTATGTATTTTTAATGTTGTATCATAAAAAAAATAAAAATGTATCTAAAAATTAAAAAAAAAAACAATTAGGGGTGGACTACTCTTAACATTTAGGGAGATGAAAAATAGATGTTGTCCGATTCTCAGACATACCCAATATGCACACAAAATTTCATGAGAATCGGTCTAGCCGTTTCGGAGGAGTTTAACTACAAACACCGCGACACGAGAATTTTATATATTAGATATATTATACAAGTCAAATCAATAAGTGTTTATACTTTTGAAACACACTTACATGAACTCCAAAACATTAAAATGTATTGCTATAATATAATATGTGGACTTATAATAGAAATTTCTTTATTACTAACAAAGTTTATCTCTTCCAGGAATGTCTTAGTTCTTTAAAAGCTTTAGAACGGGAGGAGAGTCTACGAAGGCTCGAACAATTGAAGATGCAATTAATGGAGCTAGAACAACAGTATGCAAAAAGCAAACCCCTTGTTCAATTAGTGGATAATATGGTCAAACTTGGGTCATTGTACAATAAACCTGGATCAACAATTGAACGCCTTGAGAGAAATCAGAGGCTAAGACATAAGGTTCTTGCAGAGCATGCAGTTGAGCAACAACGGTGTGTACTTTAAAATATCTTGAAATGTATATATGTTACACCACATTCTATATTTACATACATACAAATCAAATGACTAAAAATTCCCAAGAATGTGCAAAAATTACAGTGAACACAATAATGACCAAAAAAATAACTATTTATTTATTTATTTCGTAATCCTACAGCTAACATAAATTATATATAATAACAAACAGTGACACTGAAAATATAGCCAGAGATGGAATACATAATACATTTTACTACAAAAAGGTTCAAAAATTTATAAAATCAAACAAACAAAAAAAAAAATTATTCAATACATTCAACTAAATAATACCTAATTTGGCTGTGTTGTGTGATGGTGTAGAAGTGAGGGTAAGTACGTGAAGGTGTGTATGTGGGGTATGCTCATGATGCAGGTGATTTTGCGCTATGGATATTCTTAATACTCCTTTTAACCATATTCCGCGATAGCTTAAACAGGTCAAGGCTTAAATATTGGTCGTTGTATGTCCGGGCTGCGCGATACAAAACTGAGTTTTTTGCATAGTTACTGTTAATGTGAGGAACATAAAACAAAGCACGATTACGAGTCTGGTAGGCAGGAACAAGGAAGGGCAATTTTTCTAGAAGGGAGCTGCAATTAATTTTATTTGAGATGATGTCATGTAGTAGCAATAAATCATATTGTTTTCGTCGAGAGTCTAAGGGGCCGTCTCCACAAGCGAGAGAATCGCGACGAATCCGCGCTTTTATCGTCGGGTAATCTCCACGAATGAGCGATTATTCCGCCAGCGTATCGTAACGATTCGTAACGGAATCACAGCGTATCCGCAACGACTCGTAACGGAAACGCCGCGTGGCGAGTGCGCGACGTGCGCGACACCAGTAGCGACAGGCTCGCAGCGATGTAATGACGTTTCGCGCGCACTCAACCACCCGTCGCATCGCCGCGTTAAGATCGCCGTGTGGAGACACGTTCTATGAGATTGTATAGAAATGCGTGGCAGGACGATTGTATCGTTGCGATTTACTCGCTCGTGGAGACGGCCCCTAAAGTATTAATTTTAAAATCCATAATGGTGACAACACTAATTTGCTAATTTCTGTATGTTCATAGGTGTTTTAAAGTCAAGTTTGTAGTCAGTGAAGTCAAAATAATACAGGTCAACAATTTTGGTTTAGTCCATATACACATTTTAATTGTTAATTCTTCAGGCTCTTTTAATTAATTACAAATAATTTTAACAGTCACTACGTATTGACATTGTCTAGTAACTACATCTGTACATTTTTAGGTGGTTGGAAAGTGCTGCAGCTGGAAAACCCTTGGAAACAGAAGCAGCAAGAGCAAGAGTGGCTGAACTTTGGGCTTTGGAACAGGAGTTAGCTGATGAGGCGTCCATATTGCAAGGACTAAAAACTGATAAAGATGCCATAGAATCATTGCTTTCAGGTTTGTTGCTGGCAGATTTTTCCCAGCATTTTAAAACATCTTCATCATCTTCACATTCTTCTTCATCTTAGACGACTCATTGGTCTAGTGGTTAGTACCCCTGACTGCGAATCCATGGGTCGATCCCCGGCTGAGACGAACATCGATGTGATGAGCATTTGGTGTTGTGCTTAGGTCTTGGGTGTTTAAATACATATGTATTTATATGTCTATCTATTTATAATATGTCTTTAAAAAAAGGAGGTGGTTTACAATTTGACGTGTATATTTTTTTAAATAATTAAATATATACATCTAATTAAATATATTTAAAAAAAAGTCTTACATTCGTCTCTCAGTCTTCCCAAACCTGTCGCAAATGTATCCAGTTTTTGTGCAGAACTGAGGAAACGGTTAGCGAAATCATATGTAGAATTAGTGACTGCTGGCGGAGGACAGCTTCACTTAGTGGGCATACCGGGATCTGAAGTACTTTTCAGGCACACAGCTTTAGCAATGCCGAAGCAGGCCCATACAGACTGCAGTCGCCCTAGATTGCCGAATAATAATTGAAAAATCAGTGTACTCAGATAGATTATTGATTATGTATTACTATTTTTTGGTCTAAATCCAAAAGTAAAGACGGCCGTTAGTTAACGGCACCGCTTTTCTAGGAAACCTAAGCTAAAGTCATAAATTGTGATTTATGATAAAGAGTATAGATGGGGTATTTTATGATAAGCGTCATTAATGTGGTACAACGTTTTATTTATAGGTGTTCGTAGTAAGCTGGACACAGTGAATTTAGAAGATCCACTTCATGGGGGTGGTCTTGAGGTGGAATTGGCCAGAGTTCACGCGATGCTGGCGCACAATTCTAAGGTTTATAAGGTTTTCATCTATACAATGCACTTATTATTTTATTATATAGTCACCTTTTGCTATATTTTTATTTTATCGTTATTTGGAAATTCAAATTTTTATTTAATTATAATAGTTTAAAAATACACGTCTAGAAATGTCTTTTAATTGGCTGAAAACTATTATATTGGTCTCTTTCTGTCAAATTATGTTTACGCTTTGTTGAAACGAGACAGAATACTGAATAGTTATAATAAATAAGTTATTTGGTCCCGCTTTTGTCCATTCTGTCCGACAATTTAAATAAAATATATTAATTTAAAATAAATGCAAACATTTTCTGATGAATTACAGAAACTGGAGCAGACGGTAGCTGAAAACGCCCGATTAGAGCGCGAATTACAACAGTTGCGTAGGGCGTTACGGGCAAGGAGGGCTGCTCCACAGCCCACACATTCACATCCCACACAGCCTGCACAGCCCACTCATCCTACCGCCATGTTAGAAGATGGTTAGTAGATGGTTACTTCTTATATAATTCTATTTTTCATTTATATTTTATCAAATTCACAAAAACACTAAATGTACTTAATAATTAAATTAAATTACTAATCAATACGTAAAATCTAATATTTCTATCGTAATAGACTAGTAACACTTCTGTAAGAAGCACTTACACTTTTGTTACTAAACAAGCAAGAACACATAGTTCAAATATAGTAAATATAATAAACAAATTTTATAGAAAGTCACCATCAAGCTCACAAAAACTTAACTTAGTTCGTTCTAACATTAGATTCAACCATTATATTTTCATTTTTAACTTTGAAGTTTTAATAGTTATCATAGACTTTATAGTATGAGTATTATATTCATCTTTATATATCACACCGGAAGATAACAAAATCCGCAAGTTTATAAATTTCCTAGGACACTTATAAACTTTCGTAGGATTGGAGAGATAAATTGTATTATTTGACGCTCACATTTTGTTATATTCTGGTGACATATATAAATCTTCGCGAACGAAATTTAAATTCGATTCGATTCGAGAGTGATTTAAATTTACATTTACATTGTTTTTTAATTTTTGTAATAAAGACTTGTAAAGGACAACGTCTGTCCGCTGTCGGCTCCGCTATTGTAATATATTAGGCGTATTTAAAATCTTCTATTTTCTGTAATTTATTTACAAAAAAAATCTTGTCCTAACAGGTGTCCCTAAATCAACAATAATCCGATAAAAAAATTGAAACATATTTACAGAACCAAAAAAAAATACTTATTATTATAGGCAAAATAGACGAACTTTTGTCATTTCACTCAATGGACAATCAAAAAGGTCCTTTAACCTACGTTATTCATTGAATAATGTAACTTAGTAAAATAATATGTGCCCTTTTTAGCTCAGTCCTTAGCTGTGGATTGTCGTAGTAATGATAAGCTTCAATATGAAGTGATTAATTGAAAAGCATTATCTAGCCGTACAGTATTGTCACTTTAGTAGAAGTAAAAGTTTCTAAGAGCAATATTATTACATTATTGGATTGTGTTGCAGAAGTTACAAGAGTCCAGCAGTTGGTCACAGCTCTGCAAAGACAGCGTCAAGAGTTAAGTCGCGCCGTGAGGCACTTGACCCAGCAGTCCCAGGTCTTACAGACGACACAAGATTCTATGCCAGGTACAGTAAAATTTCTGAACACAATCGGTATTATTATTTTACAGGTTAAATATACCGTTTTTATCACCATGGTTACTGGTGTAATTTCCATCTAAGGAGTGGTAACCATGGTAACGTTTATTCAAGTTAGTATGTAATTTGTTTCCATTGTTATCATTTAATTATATTTATATGGAAATAACACCGAACCAAGATAACAAACACGGTATTAAGAACAGTCCACGTTATAATTCACAGAAGTTGAATTATATTTTGCATATACACTTATATCTATATATATCGGAAACATCCATATTAAAAAAAATACTTAAATATCAAATTAAAGATGAAACTATGGCGTATTCTGTTCGATAGTGGGTCATGTTATTACGTCCATTTGACCAAAAACCCGTTTCGAGTATGCGTTGACCTACTCAGAACTTGTCAATTCTTGGGTCATATTTTTTTCCCACCCGATACATTTTGCCATAAATTTTCTTCCAGGACAACATCGGCCATTATCATACTGGCAAGAAACGAATCTAGATACTGGTCATACAATTGACCATGGCCAGGATTATGAGTACGATAGCCATCCAATCCACTACGGACAGACGGAACCATTATATGTTGATACTAGACCTGGCGATATCACCTCTCCCATGACCAGTGAGGACATGCAGCATTCGGCATTTGGTACGTATTAGTTTATAAATTTCGAGACCTATGACAACAACGTCAATGTCAAAATTGAATTTTGACACAAGGGAGTTACTTAACCTTTAAGTTCATCGTGTATTCGAATCGCGGCTGTGCCAAGAGATTTTTTTAGGCACGCATTTAACACTTGCTCAAACGCATATGGCTTTATATAAGTCTGAAGCCTAAGGGAGTGTTCAAGTATTACGTAACAAATTTTTTTGGGGGGAGAGAAATTCCTTTTGTAAAACGTTACGATACGGGGTGGGGAGAAGACTTTCCAGTACTTTCACCACATAATGGTAACTTTTAGGTATAAAGAGACACTAGGTGGTCACGAAACGTTTTACTATACTTGGGTACAGAAAAATGTTACGGCGCGTTACATGGGGGGGGGTCAATAATCTCCAAAAATTGCGTGACGTAATACTTGAACGCTCCCTTAATAAGACAAGACAGGCATGTTGCTTCACAATGTTTTCTTCACCGTATGAGTGAGTGTTCGATGCGCACAAAGACAGACAGTCTATTACGAGTAGTGTGCAAACAGCTGAAGCCACTTTATTAGACCTATTATTATTGTTATATTTTAATAGACAGTAAATCAACGTTTAATAGTAATTTGCTTAAATAGACTGGTGCCTATAGCGTTTACTAAACCCAAAATACATTACAGGTCATCTATCCAACGTCGAAAAGCAAGAAATCAAAACAGTCCGTATAGTGAAACGCGAGAGTGAGAGACGTCAAAGAGACAGAGAGCGCTCCCTCCAGCCAATGTCCGATTGGTCCAACAACATCACGACCAACATCGACCAGTTCCTCGAGGAAGAGTTGGTCCAACCCATCAACAACTATCGGGCGTCCTCCGTCCCAAGAACGGATTACTCCAAATTCGAGGAATACTATGCGAAACAAAATAAAGAGACACCGTATTTAAAATTCGAGAGGAACATGGAACTCAGCCCAAAATACCCATCCAGCCCGTCTCTGTCTAACTACGACTACTCCCGAGATTACAAATATAGTTACGACAGACTAACTCTATCTAACCAGTACCTGAACAGCCCGACGGAAAGTTCCAGAACTTTAACCAATGACATTTCGAAGACCAGCAGTGTCATGAGCCTGACGAGATCGAACATGGAGTTGTCGCCGATATTCAAAAGTGAGGCTGCGAAGGAGATAATCACAGAAATGTCGGACACACATAAGAATGGATCTTTGCATAGGAGACAGGTTCCAAAAGAAAAGAGGAGACATTATACTGCGCCGCATCATTTGAGTGCGAAGACATTGAATGAATTACCGAAGAATGGCTATAAACAAGATGTAAGTTGTTTATACTGATTTAAAAAAAAGATATTGTTTGATACGATTTGTAGGCTTCCAGTGTGTGTGCTTAGTGACGTAAGTGTTTGTTTGTTTGTCCATAAATTAGGGTTCATAAAAGTCGACGGCGTGTGTTTAGCACAGAAGTCTTATAACCCAAGTGGGTAACCCTATTACAAAAAACAAATGGTTACGAAACAGATACAGAAATTTGAGACCTAGACCTAAAAGGTTTTTGAGGTTTAAATGCGCCACTGGTTTTTTATATCAACTGTTGGATTTTCAATTTTTTCCTTTTCAGTTTAGAATAGGATTTTAGTCCTAAGTTCTTTTCATGTATGTAGTACAATTAAGGATTACATTATAGTTTTATAATGCAGAAATATTTGAATATTAATCCTGTTATTTGAAAATGTACATACACGAACGTAAGATATTTTTTTCTTGTGTCTAATTAAATAATAAAATGTGTGCGTGTACTAGGTGTACACACGTAAGAAGTGAAACTTCTTTATGACCTTATTAGAAACTATTTCTTTAAACACAGTAAATTTTGATTCACTGCCTAGCATACAATTTACAAATTAATTGCTGCAAATTGCGATTAGCAAATTTCAAGTCGAAAATGTAATCCGTTGTCAAACTTCAAAGTCAAAAACATACTATATGTCATATTTTAACGCCGATAAAGAAGTTTGACTTCGAAAATGTAATCCGTTGTCAAACTTCAAAGTCAAAAACATACTATATGTCATATTTTAACGCCGATAAAGAAGTTTGACTTCGAAAATGTAATCCGTTGTCAAACTTCAAAGTCAAAAACATACTATATGTCATATTTTAACGCCGATAAAGAAGTTTGACTTCAAAAAGCAACATGGCGCGTAACGCAAAAATGTTACACTAAATTTTTTTCCAACCCCGATAAAGAAGTTTCACTTCAAACATATAATTGATTTTTGCGAGTTTTTTTTTTCAATAAAAATTCACGTTATAACTAAACAAATATTGTGTAGGCAATGGCACGTTCCGTGGACGACGCAGACATGGAGCGTGCATTACGCGGCGCCGCGCCTGACGTTGTAAGGTCTGCTCTCCCCGCTACCAAGATACGCGACTCCATCGACCAGTTGCTGGCTGCGCCTCAGAAAATCGTGATTCCCGAGCGATACATTCCTGAGAAGGTGAGTACGTAGTACGAGGATGATCTAATTTTGGTCCTTTGGTTATTTCGAATAAAAAAGAATTGGTCGAAAGAAAATCATTGTATTATTTTAATCAGGATATAATAATAAAAACATATATTATTTTCATGTTATTTTCTAAATAGAAATGACGCAAAGTAAATGTGACGTAAAACTCAAAAAATTTCATATGTTTGCATTTTGCTTTTATTTCCAAAAACAGGTGACACGCTCACAGATATTATTTTTTTTTCTTTAGATATCGACTCTGATATGACTCTGACTATATTAATTTAAATTCTATAAAGCGTTAAGTAATTTGTGGTTCTTTATCGTCTTTCAAAATAAGTCTAATTTAATTAAATGGGACCACATTATTCCAACGTTAGAATGAAATTATAAGAATTTGTTTTCGATTTCAGCCCCCAGAACTATCCCCAGAAGAACAACAGAAGAGACAAGAGAAAGTAGAGTCGATAAAAAAGATGCTGTCCAGCTCTTCGGGTGACCAAACCAGCACCAAGGTAACAGATAGTCATACTCATAAAACGTAATTTAAATCAAGAATAAAAAAACGTATTCACCTAAATTCTAATATACCGTTTTATTAATTCTAAGAGCTCTTTGCTATTATATATATTATTAAAGAGAGAGAAATCTTAGCTATTCTATTGTCTATAAATGGATGATAGAAAATATTGCATATTTAAAAATAATCTATGGGTTATTACGGGTCTGGGTTCTTTTGATACAAAATTATACACGTAAACGTCATCTAGAAAAAAAGTTCATCGTCATTCTAATGAATCATTTTTCTAATCATTAATGTAGTCTTTTGCATCGTGTCTTAGTCTGCTTTGTAATTTTTATGCATGTTTCATTTTCATAAACTCATAAACAAATTATATAGATTGGCCATTGTTTGCAGATGAATTTGTAGTTAGTTTCATTCTCATATTTTGAAGGACTACATCTATCAAAATCAGACCACCCTGCGTTTTGTTTTACTAAGAATGTCACATTTTATTTTTTCGATCCATAGATAATAAAGATCTTGTTCATATCGTCTATACAATATTAATGTAAATTTTAACTTGATACTTACATTACTTCAATAATTTTCCACATATTGATTTCCCATAAAATTCATTTATATTAAACATACTAATCTCATAAAACCATAAATATTCAAATTATATTATCATTAAACTGTAGACAAATTCATAAATCATCTTCCATCTCTAGCATTCCTTATTACTAAATCAATGACTAGACTGTCCTATTAGGCTATTGGGTGCGAAAATTTCATAACTTAGAATTCTCCACATAAAAAATCCTGCCTATATTATTAGTTGTATATCTGCAAACACTGGCAAGCTTTTGGCTGTATATAAGCATATCTATGTGCTTGTTAGAGCCCGGATGGAGAAAAACGACAGCGGGAGCACTTACTACAAATGAACCAGATACTCGCCAAGCAAGTCACGGAGATGAGCAAAATTATAGCTGGTAAGTGTTTGGATGTTTGCTCTACTTGGCGTAGTAAAGCATTCTTTTGTGACTACTGAATTTCTGCTTGACTTTTTATTATGAAAACCGTAATAAATAACGTTTCAAATTTTTTTTAACTCGTTAAATATAAACTATGAAATACGTTGTATATATAAAAAAACATAAAACTTTATCGATAAAAGTATAAATAATTTAAAAATGTATGCATTATTTAGATAGGAGTCAAAAAAATTATATAAAAAAATGAATTACATTAAACAAAACTTGCAATAGTTAGTGTTAGAATATGTATTTTGGAACGCAACCAATTTTTAGTTCCTAATTTTGTCACCAGAGGAGCCCTTTATATACTTATTATACTTTTGCACAAAATGTTGTACTTGGCAATACATTAAACTAGTGTACTTTACCAATAATTCTATCATAACTGTACTGCAATAAAGTTTTTTAGTCTGTGTCACGTCATCGTAGTTTCAATACTTACCTTCTTACACCGGTGAGCAGAAATCATTACCTTTTTACTGTATTACAAGAGTAGAATTCTTAGGTTCTGTTTACAGTCAGAGATTCACTAAGTCACGTGCTTAAAATGTCGTATAATGATTCTTACTACGCCAAGTAAATTTAAAATACCTTGATTTGGATGTATTAAATACAATAAACTTTGTGAAATTAAAAATGTCATAATTGATATCTAGAAAGAAACAATTGGGTTTTTGAAAAAAACATTTTTTTGTGATAAAGGGAAAGATCATATATACAGTATACAGTGTTTTGATCTATTTAATTTTGTTAATTAATATATTAAATATACTATATATATATTATAGTCACGTGATTTTTATTTAAATTTTATCAATTTTTAATTGTTTATAATTAATTGAAAAAAATTTTTTTAAAGTTTTTTGCATTAAACATCAATATTATTAACAATAAAGTTTTAAAATACATAAAATCAATTTTTTTTTTTCAAAAACTCAATTGAGCCTTAATACATCCATAACTCCCAAAGTTGCTAAGTAACTTCACGAGCAGCATTTTGAATGTAACTTTTTTGTCCCGTTTTGATTTTGCACTTTTTATTTGTGTTGTGAGAATTATCTGGTGCATGATTGCATGTTGCAATTTTCATGCAACCTCTTTGGTTTATTATATGATTTATGTAGATGATGTTTTGAATAAAAGCAATGAGAATTATTTGGAATTAAATTCATAAGAATAAAAATTTTGTATGTATTTCTAAAACTGCCAAGACTGCGCGTTTGCTTGAAGTTTTATACTTTTAATAATGACGCAATGGTCGCAACTATTAAAAATCGTGTATAAAACTTCCCTTTGGCAGGCAATTGTATCAACATTATATACTGAGATGGTCTTAACGGTAGCAAGGGATCATGTAGTCACTGCCTATATACTGACGTGGTGACATCATTGCCTGTACACCTTGTTGGCGTAGCGAATCACCCAAAGTGAACAAGCCTACGGAAGTAGAGAACGTCACCTACATTTCGGTTTATCATATTACTAGCTGGCCTGGCAAACATCTTACCGCCTAACAGTCGATTCTTTATTATTTTTAAATACTTATTCTGCTATTCGGGACACCGGTCTAGTAAGATAGTAAAATAAAAAAAAGAAAGTTGATAAGACAACAAATACATTATGTCAAAAAATTAAAATTTACCTTCCCGAAACCCCTCCACTAACACTTGAACTGTATGTTATGGTATTAAAGTTCAAATTGACTTTTAAGTATTATTGCGAATATTTTGTATGGGAATATAGAAAAGTGTTGGTTTTTAGACTTTATAACTCAATTTTTTTATTTTTTTTTCCGTAAGAACCATCCTCGTACTTCAAGGAATAGAATATAAAAAAAGAATTGGCCAAATTGGTCCAGGCGTTGTTGAGTTATGCGCTTACCAACACATTTTGCGATTCATTTTTATATTATAGATTAAAATATCTAGATCATGCACCACGACAATTCTCATTTACTAACGTCACGTGTGTCCACGCATGTAACAATAATGCTTGATGTCGTTTGTCCCACCCAGGAACCAATGACGGACCGTCGAATTGATCCATTTATCATATCCTTAGCTATTACCTAATTGGCCTCTCCGGATCATCGTGCAGCATGGTTTTTATGCATTTTGTTGTGAGTAGCTTTTGTTTTTTTTTTCGACCGACTTCAAATGGGCGTTCTTTTGTTTCTATTGATTTTTATTTAAATTTGAAGTCGGTTTTCAGTGTTAATTGGGATTTACTAATAGATTTTTGTTTTAACAGTGAAAGCCTTGGAAGAACTGCCTCTAACAAACAACGCTGATGATTCGGATCGCTCACCAGATGTGGAATTGCCAATATATCAGCAGAGGGACAATTTCTTCACCTAACCTGGAAAATTAATACATTTTAACTGAGGCTACGATAGCGAATTGCGTCACTTGTCAAAGTTATTTGTGGCATTCGGTCTTTTAGCTTTGGCATGGTGTACAATGACTAAATGTATGTAGTTGAACCAAATATCTGATAAAAACCTCGTATAATCAGAAGGTTTTGATGCAGATACTTAAGGAAAATTGGCTTATTTACTAGGATGTTTTACTAGAGACACGAATCTGTAACGTCATGCAGTTAGCAGGAAGAGTGAGACATAATGTTGTCTCATTCTTGTATATGACGATAGAAGAACTCAAATTTAAAGGCTTCATCATATCGTAAATTATGTTCAATATTTAGGAACATATCATGTAATGCCATATCTATGTTATGCTAAGAAAAATGTTTAATTGTTGCTTAGCATTCTGCATTAAAGAAGTACAAGTTATATGTAAAATCTTATTAGTAGACGAAAAAAATCAAATAATAGTTAGTGATTTCAAATTTGCCTATCTTCAAATTCTAAATATTTGAAAGCGTATTTCATTATTAAGCCATACTTAGAAATGCTTGAAGAAAGATGTAACAAGACTCGAGGCATATTATAATTAAGGCATACATCTGAATTGTGTATGAAGACTCGGTTTATTATTTCTATCGACTATGTACATACTATAGATATATGAAGATATTTAAAACTATTATTTAGCAATACCAAAATGTTCTTAATAGTTATATAATAGTTCTGATGTTCGTAACAAAATGGCCTGCAAATCATTTCTTAATTTAATATATTACATTATAAGAGCGTTACTCTTATTCTCAAACGTACTTGATAGTCTTGTTTTAAGCGCAGTCAAAAATCTAAGACAAAAAATTACAGATGTTAGCGATTACTTTTAACGTGATGATCTATATCTGATCTATAAAATCAGTTTATTTATAACATTTGCACGAACTTTACGTCAAGTATTCACAAACGTCAATGTTTTTGACAGTTCGAACGTGTCTATTTTTCCTACAATTTGAATCCCTGAATGTTGCCTACAGCCCGTTTTGTTTGTAATACCGCCACGGAGTGCTTTATTATTCCATACAAAAATCCATTGACACTTACTTATCAGGACAGCTATTCCATTTTACGCATTGTTCGTGCTATGGCCTTAAATATGTATATAAAGTATTTAGTATATAAGATACACAACTGGACGATGCCATGTTAGTTAATTTAAGTTTCCTTTAGTTTTAATGTATGCCATTGTTTATCATTTTATTTTTTAAGTGTTATTTAATTTTATTATACTGTAGATTTTTGCATTGATACCATTTTGTATAATATCGATTTATTTTCATTTAATAAACTTAATTTAAGTATAAAATTTGTTGTAAATATTTTTTGTACTTTGCTAATAATACGGATACCGTACGATTAATTTGTATCCTTTCCGGTATTCATAATATAGTTTTATTTCATCCCTGCAATTATAAATATTTTGGATTTTAATACTTACTGAGTAAGAACACTCAGTAAGTATTAAAATCCTGCAGATCCTTTAAAATTAGTCTGTCAACTGTTTAAAGTCCCACAAACCCGTGGGGCGTGGGGCGGTTATATTTATATATCTCTATGGATATTATTTCTAAGTAAGAAAGCAGAGTAATATTTTGAGACAGCGCTAAATATGCCTTTCGTGTGTCAAGTCAATACATTTCTGACGTTCCTGTTACTTGGCGCTATAGAACTTTATAGAACATATTTGACAGCTGTCAGCTAGCTTCATACAACGTACACTGACGTAACATTCTTACGACGTTCAGTTCACTCTAGAACAGAAATTGTTTGTTATATTTAGAATGTGTATCTTAAAGTATATAGTAAAGTAAATTTTCATTATTACAATAAATATGTAATCGGAATTAAAAAAGTTGCTTTGTGCAATTCTAACCTACAAAAAATATGCTCGTCATTACAAGGTCACGTTCTTGAATTTTGATGAAATGTCAAATGGGATCTATTAAATTGGCTGTTTTAAGTACCTTACCATGTTTTCTCCTTAATAAATTGCGTGTTGAAATAAAAATCCATTGGTATACGGGCTTCTGACAACGTTAGGGCTGAAAGTCGCTTAGCCTCTATATTTTAAATATACCTTTTATTCAAAGGATAATGAATGCCGATATTATACAGTACTTTCAAACAATTAATCGTACTGCAGCCGTATTACTTATTGCCTTTGCACATAGATCGTCAATTGTAGTTAATATGCTTCTAAATCGCTTCAAGTAGAAGCAACGAATTGGTAATCTTTGTGATAAACATATACTTACTTCATATACACATATATTAATTGTAGTAATGTAGGCCCCCATAAATAGCCTATTAAAGCTTTAAAATACTTATGACTATTGTATTATAAATTGTCTTATCGACGCAAAACGTAAACATTAAAATGTATTTAAATGGACCTTAAAACGTTTCTCTTGTATTACGATAATGTAATGATAATTCTAGGACAATATTATTTTGATGTACAAAACTAGACTTAAAATATTCAAGTTCAAGAGCTAAATGAATATTAACACACTATTTAATTAATATTATAAAACCTTTTCGTGATAAGCAAATTTAAGTATTGCGCCATCTACATGAAATTATTGTCAACTCTAATGAAACGCGTTACTCAAGCGAATAAACCAATGTAATATTTATTTTTGATATTAGTTGAAATTGAAAAATTTAAATGTGGAAGAAGGATGGTGAACAGCTCTTCCAACCTCTAGGGACGATCCCCGACAAGTCTAACCACTGACTGGCCCGAAGTCCCCAGTGGCTAATGCCGAGAAGTTGTTACATACGAGCGGTCGGATTTATTCCGTTAGCGCGTTTCAGAGTAGAACGTCATGGCAGTAATTATTACATTCTACATGTAGATTGTAGGTGTCGCTACAAAAAAACATTTATTTAATCTATTTTCAATAGTCTAGTTTGCGTACATCAGCAATGTCTGTACTATAATATAACTAATCATAACTACATATTAACGCGTAATTAGCGTATTATTACTTATTTAAATCCTTTTAATTTTTCAAACTATATTTAAATGATTTTCATTTATCATACATATTTATCTATATATATCAAACTAAGTATTAATTTAATTCTATGGTAGTTCTATGTTTATATTGCTTCAGTTTCATAAATATTAGCTCTACGCGTAACACACTTGAGTACAAGTAACAGTTCTATTTAGTGGAAGAATGTTCTTAATTCTATTTCAAATGTCAACTCTCCTGCTAAAATAATATAAGTGGGTTTCTTCTCTCATAATCGATGTACCGATTTAGACTTTTCTAAAAACACAAGACAACTATTTCATTATTCACATAGCGTATGATTGTAAAATTATACTGTATGTTATATATTTTCATTGCCTACATTCGCTTCTATTCTTATTTATTTTTTCTGTGCGAAATCAACTACTAAATTTAATTCAGACTTCGCGGATATCAGGTAGTAGAAAATTTTATGAACTTATAGACTGATGTGTTAGTACCACTCTATCGACTGTCCTATTTGGATTATTTATACATAGTCAATTATGTACTTAACCTATCCTTGTTATGCAAAGATTGTTTTATAATGTAAAATTAATGTATTGGAAATAAAATATATCAAATAATTGTGTTTTCTCTAGACCAATGTTTAAACGTCATTCAATTATTTTCATTTGTACCAAAAGGACAGTAAGAAAAAAGTTATTATCTATATTTTTATATGAAAATCGACGGACGCTTTAGATATAAGGAGTAGATATATACTATGGAAGAAGTGTCAAGATGATATAATAGGAAACTTTATTAGAAGTATCATAAAGGCGATATGTGATATAAAGCAAGCCTATTGTTGTAAAGTGAATAGGTACCTATTTAGTGTAATTCTAATGACAGTGGAAAAAGCAATTTAACCAATAGAAAAGTATACATTAGTGATCTTAAAAGATTCGCATAAGTAAGTAATTTAAAATTGCTACCTTGAACTTCGTTTTTTTAAAGTTCTAATTACCAGTGGTGCTCCAAATTTATTTAGGTCTATATCTGTATCATGATCATTTGTCAATCTTATAGGCAAGTATAAGCCTCCTGTGCCTGACACACGCCGTCAGTTTGGGTCTAAGGCAAGCCCATTCCTCACGATGTTTTCCTTCACCGTTCGAGCGAATGTTGTATGCGCAGAGACAGAAAGTCCATTGGTACACATCCGGGGAATGAACCCACGACCGATGAGAGTCGCACGCTGAAGCCTCTAGGTCAACTCCCTTATCAGGTCAAAAAAGGTCGTATATGTAGGTTAATTTGTGACTGGAATGCATTATTAGACTATGAAATATTTTAATCATTATGTTATCTCTTGAGCTATATAAGCCATAATTAATAGCACACGATATCATGACAATAGCACTTTGAACCTAGCTAAAATTCTAATGCCTTGACTTTTGTTGTAATCTACACGTCGACGCTGACATTATGTCCGTTTAATGAATCGTAACATTTTACTATATCCTTAACTCGGGAAGAATTTTCAAAGCATTGTAACATTTCGTGATTATTAGATTACAATTTTATAGCTACTCGAGAATATCTTCTATAACTTGCTTATTAGACTTCTTATTTATTTGCATTTAATTAATTTATAGATTTCAAAGGGATTTTAATAAGATGCTTATGAAGATCGTTGCTTCTGCATTCGTGTTTTGGTAAAAAATCCATTATTGAAAGTATATTTATCCAGTATATTGTGAGCTATACTTATATATTAGTTTTAAGAAGTTCAGTGGTCAATAACTACACAATTAAAACTTAAATCAAACAAGTCCCGTGATAATACAAGAACAACGGGAAAACCTGTATGAGGCCTGTATTCACTTTGATTACTGCGAGTGCAAGTGATTAGTGCAGGTGATTAGAAGCGTGTTCTATTTTTTTGGGAGTGAACTGCGAGTAGTGACGTCTCGTG